GTTTTCCAATCCCTTGCCCAGACCATCGAATCTCTCCAGTGCTGGCTGACCTGGTGATCCATACTCAAATTCAAAGAGGATCTGTGATTAAATCCCACGTGTACAAAATCCGAGACTCAGGCCTGCTGTTCACTGCACTTGTGGGTCACAGCTTAGGAAAGGACACTAATGTGCTTGAGACATTTCTGTCATTTTATAAACTGGCTCAGTCTGTTCACATATGTTCTGAAACAACACAATTAGATCCGTTGTCTTATTACCCAGGTTTCATAAGCAAATGTCAAATGGAATAAACAGTGAGCAGTTTACAAACGCACATCAAGCACTTTGTGAACCTGAAAGCATGCGATAAACCAGTGTGCCAAGGTACAAGGCAGCTTACATCCATGGCCCTGTTAGAATTTGTTTCTGAACTCAAACAAAGGGAACACCTCATTTGGAGACCTTTGCTCTGTAAAGGGGTGCTGTCTGATGCTCTCTCGCCCCATTTTGTGTTCTTTAAAGAGAGAATATTAAAGCTGCCTAAAACCAAACTATCTACGCCTTTATTCTAAGCTTCTGAGATTCGCTGCTACATTACCAACCTAATATCAGTTTAGGCATCGCTATCCTGTTTCTCAGACTCTGAAATAAATCTCAACTTTTGTAGATGTGCCTGTATTCCAGTACTAACCCATGTTCTAATCCTAATTTGTCTGAATTTGGTTTAGCTTACTGCAAAGTCAATTAAAATGAAAGTGAATGGAGGGAGCAGAGGAGGAGGAGATGGGAAATGGAGCCTGGACACAACAGGAAGGAAGATGGGACTTGGCAGCAGCCTGGGGCTTGGTGTCACTCCCCATCTCTGGGTTTTAGTTTCCTACTATGTAAAATAATGGAGCTGGACTAAATGATCTTCAGCATTCCTTGAAGCTTTAGAATTCTCTATGATAAGCAGGCACAAGGGCAGAGTTACCCCTTATAAACAAGGAACTTGAAAACCATCTAGTTCAAATCCCTCATTTTACAGATGAAGAAACTGAGGCCCCATTCACCATTAGCTGGTGGTAGAAACTAGAAAGAGCCCTCATGAGGCAGCAATGTTCTGCAAAAAGAGCTCTGGAGTCCAGAAAGCCTGGTTCTGACACCTACTACCTAGTTCTAACCTGGGGCCACTCAATTCCTCCTGGCCCCCAGCTTCCCCATCTGTATAATGAAGATATCTGACCAGCCAACCTCCAAGGTCCAGTTCTAAATCCTCTTCTACTGAGCTAAAATCTGAGTCCTCATCTACCCTGAAATGTTGTAGCTGGGACAAGGCAAGCATCAGAACAGCAAATTTACACATTACAGACAAAGTTAGTAGACAAAGTTCTCTGAAACTCTAAGCTAGGACCCAGGTGCCCAGTTTAAAGAGTGCTTTAGGACTGCATACATTCACTAGGGAAATCCTGGTGACCAGAAGCTCTGCTGAGTTACCTCTCTGTCCCTCCCCTTTCTGGGGAGAAGGAAGGAACAGCTGAAAAGACAAGGTCACTGAACGAAATGGAAGGGTCAGTAAAGACCATAGGGCGCAACATTCTCAGGTTCCAGAGGAAACAGGTCCAAGGAAGGAAAGGCATCAGCCTAATATGGTGGTAGAGATGATGGAAAGGGCACTGGTTCTCTCAGAAATGTGGGCACAGTGGAACATGTGCTTCTTCCAGATCTAGTAAAGGGGAGAGGTGGATAAGGACTCTGACAGCTAGCCTCAGATGAAGGTTAAAGCAGACCCTGGTTCTAATCCTGGCTCTGATACTTGCTCCCCATGTAGGGTAAACCCTTTTGTTCCAGCTGTTAATAAAGTTCGTTCTTAAAATCTGAGCTCTCCCAGCTCCAAAGCTCAGATCTACCTTTGACCTCAGTTTCACCATCTGAGAAATAAAGATAATCACCCTTTGATCACCTACCTCAATGACTGAGAGAAGGAAATAACTTTCTTCAAGAGCAACATGGCCCCAACAACTTTGAGTCTGGAATTAGAAAATCCTGGAAAAGGGCCTGCTACTAAGAGAATGTTACAACTGGAAGGAACAAGAGATGATCTAATCCCACCCCTTCATTTTACTATGGCCAAAGATGGGGAAGTGACCTGCTCAAAGTAACCCAGACCAGAAGGTCATAGATTTAGAGTTGGAAGGACAGTTAGATAAAAGGGCCCCTAAGGCACCATATAAATATCAGTCACTACTAATCCAACTCCTCCCAATCACACAGATAATAGGATCAGAGATTTAGAGCTGCAAGGGGCCTCCACTGTCTGACTCTGTGGACCCATTTGGGGTTTTCTTGGCAGAGGCTGGAGCGGTCTGCCATTTCCTTCCCCAGATGAGGAAACAGATGCAAACAGGGTGAAGTGACTTGCTCGGGTCACATAGCTCGTGTCTGAGGTCACATCTGAACCGAGGTCTTCCTGACTCCAGGCCTGGCACTCCATCCACTGTGCCCTGCAACCGGCCCCAGATGGGAAGAGATGGCCTTCAGAGGCCATCTAATCCAATCTCCCCTTCCCCCATCAGAAGCAGGAATCAGAAGCAGAGAGAAGTGACTTATCCAAGGTCACAGGCAGACACTGGCAAAGGCAGGACTGGAAAGTAGGGTGGCCATGAGACCCTGGGGATTATCTAGTCCAACCCCAGCTGGGGGGCAGAGAGGAAGGTGGAGACTTGCCAAAGTCACACAGCTAGCAAACAGCAGAGCCCCTTTTAGACCTAGACACTCCAACAGCCTATAAAGAAATAAGTTAAGCACTTGAACAGAATTCCACTCAAGTTAGCTATAACCAATTTCTGGCACTAAATGAATGGGAACTGGAAGGAGTCAACATTTCTCAGCTTGTACGTTACCTTTCCAACACTGACCACGTGTTAGGGAAGAAAAACTGAAATAAGCGAATTATAATCAATAATCGATTTAAAGAAGAGACTCAAACTTCAATGGAAGCTATATAATATCATTAAGACAATGATTTCAGTCAACAGCAAAAGCAGGATTGCAAGTGAGGCCTCCTCAGTCTTCCTGCCTTAGAAGTGAATCACCAGGTCTGAAGGCAGCCCCACCCCACACGTACTCCCAGGTCACTGCTTTGAAAGGCAAGGGGCACTAGGAGAGAATCTACTTTAATCAAGGAAAGTGAGACCCAAAGAAGTTCAATGACCAGCCCCACAGCACACAAAGGCTGAGTGGCAAGGCCAGGATCACAGCCCCAAGAATCTGCAACTGCCACTTCAGCTCTCCTGACTTAAGAGATGCACCATCTGGTCAGCCCCATCCCACCTGCATGGAGAATAAGACCTTAGAAATCACCTCATCCAAGTGCTAGGGAATCCAACCCCAGGGGAGGAAAATGAGGCCCACAAATTCAAGGACTCGAGGTAAAGAGCTGTGGGCAGGGTGCACATCCCCTCTCTCCAAATCCAGATCATCACCCAACCTTGGGGAGAGTCCCATACCTTTAAAACTGAGAGTGAGACTCGGCTTTCATCTAGCCCAATCCCACCCACCCACCCAGGACAAAGGAACGTGACTACTCAAACAGCTGGTAACTGGCCGGGACAGCTTCCAGAGCCACAGCGAGCTGCCACCTCAGCCCCTGCCCAGGCATGTGAGAGGGGCCCACTGAGATGACCTAGTCCAATCCGATCATTTCATAGAGAAGGAAACAGACCCGGGACAAGGAAGAGCGTCTGGTCCAAAACCAAACAGCTGTGAGCTGTGTCTGGCAGAAACATGGAGCTCTGGACCTGGACGCCAAATCCAGCCTTCTTTGTCTGATACTGCTCTGCCCTTTCACCTCAGAGGTGAGCTGTCATCCCACCCCTGCTCCCCCCAGCCACAAGCTCACAGACTGTAAAGCCAGAAGGAGCCTAGTCCCACCTTCTCAGGTAAATAAAGAAGGAAAGTAAACCTTGGCCTTCGGAAAGACACTTGCTTGAGGTCACACAAGTATTACTACAAATGACATCAATATTATCAATAGCTTAAAATGCAGCAAGCCTTAGTTTGTTAAAGTCCAGCCTCAAACATAAATGGATCGCTAAATCTTGGTGGACAAGTCTGGGGCAGTGGAGAGATAAGTCTCCAAATTTACAAACGGCAAAAAAGTCAGAAGATTTGCATAGGCAAAGAAAGCTGATGGTCTCAGGTGCAGACAGAAAATGCTAAGAGCTCATCTGTAAACTGTTTTCAGATGGCCTGCTATCTCTTCTTCACAAGGACCCCAGAGATAGGTACCACTGTTGCTGTTCAGTGGCGTCTGTCTCTCTGTGACCCTATCTGGTGTTTTCTGGGCAAAGATTCTGGGGTGGTTTGCCATTTCCTTCCCCAGCGAACTAAGACAAAAAGGTTAAGTGACTAGTCCAGGGTCACACACTTAATAAATGTCTGAGGCCAGATGTGTACTCAGGCCTTCCTGACTGCAGGCCCAAAGCTCTATCCACTTCCCCATCTAGCTAGCTAGATACTATTATTATTCCCACTTTACAGATTAAAAAACTAAGGCGGAGAGGAGGTTATTTGATTAGTCAGGGGTCATGCAGCTATGAAACGTGGGAGGAGTGATTTGACGACCAATTTCCTTGAATTTCAGCACTCCATACCATGCTAAACTAGCCCGGATTAGAACCCAAATCCTGAGGCTTCCAATCTAGAATTCAGAATTCTTTCCAAGATACTCAGCGAATATTAGTGGCTAATCTCACAAGACCAGGGAAAAAGAGAACTGGGGAGGCTCGTTCGGGGTCACACTGCTAGTGTCAGGGGCAGCATTCGAACCCGGTCTTCCTGACTGCAAATCCACCACCTAGCCCCCTCTGGGACTCAAAGAGCCCCACCGTCTCCTCGTGCCGGGGAGGCACTAAAGAGGCCAAGAGAGGCCAAAAAGGGGCGGAGGCCGACCTGGACGCGGAAGGGCTGCCTCCGCCCTGGGGGAGACCCTTGCAGCTAGCTGCTCGCCCGCCCGCGTGCGCGCTCCCTTCCCTTACCGCTCTTGGGTTTAGACTCGCCGGCAGGCCCCGCCGAGGCTGCGCGGGGCGGCTGCTGTCCTTTGCTGCTGCAGCCCCCAGAGGCTGACGAGGAGCTGGGGGGCCCGCTGTTCTTGTCCATGTCGGGGGCGGCGCTGCTGCTGCTGGGCGAGCTGTGCGGCATCAACGGGGGCCTCGAGGGCGGCGGCGGCGGGGGAGGCGGAGGCGGGGGAGGCGGCGGCGGCTTCGGTCGGAGCGGAGCGGGCGCGGCGGGGAGCCAGGCTCATGGCGTTGGGGGCCGGCGGCGGACGGCGGGGGCGGCGGCAGCGGTTCTCGGCCTTCATGGCGACATTGTCCTCGCTTCCTTCCTCGGCTTCTCAAACGGGGCGGGCGCGGTGCGCGGAGGGCTCCCGGGCTCGGCGCGGCTCGGGCCTGGCGGCGAAGGCCGGCGGCGGCGCTCGGACGTCCGGGCCGGGCCTGGCGGAGCGGGGCGGAGCGGAGGGAGAGAGGGAGGATAGGGAGGAGGAAGGGGAAGGAGGACGGGGGCGAGATGGAGGGACCGCGAGCCCCGCCCGCCGGCCGGCCGGACACTCTCGCTCTCCCGCCGCGGGGCAGGGGAGAGGGTAGCGGGGCGGGAGTCGGGAACTCGCCTCGCCTCAGGGCCGGGGCCGAGGCCGAGCTGCTCCGGGAATGGCGACGAGTCGCCAAACAGCGCCGCCGAGAACCCGGATGCACTATTTATAGCGGGGACGCCCAGCCAGGAGCATCCCGGGAAATGTAGTTTGGCCCGACTTCCTCTCCCGCCCCCCTGCCACCTTCCCGCACAAATACACAGCCCAACCTCCCGGGCGTCTACCCGTCATCAGCCGGCCCCCACAGCACGGCCTTATGGGGGTTGTAGTTCACAAGGGCACGAGACCAGACCAGCGGGCTTGCTAGGTGTTGTGGACGGCTTGGGAACTGCTCTCGCGGGAAGAAGAGCCACGTGGACAAACAGCGTCGCTAAGGGGAGGAGGGGGGCATGGGATGAGAGAGGGGGTGGGGTGGGTGTGGGTGGGTGTGGGGGGTGTGGGGGGTGTGCGCGCGCGTGCAGTTTAGTTGAAGAAGCACTTGTTCGTACTGTCTGCCAGGTGATGTGCCTGCAATAGACATGTGTGCGTGCACATGCGTGTGTCTATTTAGGCATTCATATATGCACCTAGTTGTTTCTATTCAATTGAATTAACATTTATTATTAAGTTATTACTCTGGGCCAAGCGTTGCACTTGTACACACATACCTACATAAATATTGGTACATCAGTGCATGAGTACTATGTTTGGACTTTAAGTGCCTACTGTGTGCCCAGCACAGTACCTATCCCTTTGTGTGTGCGCATGTGTGTTATGTATTTAAATACACGTTTATCTCTATGTCTCTGTATATGCTGAATTTAATTCAACAAGCTTGAAGCACCTAATAAGCCAGGCATACTTACCTTTGGGTTTTATATATGTGCATATAAAATAAATACATATGTATATATATATATAGATATAGATATGTAAATACATATTGTGTACATGCAGCAATATATACACATATGTGTATCTTTCAGGAAGATTCACAGCTTTCTTCTTCCCATCCCCACCAGCCTCGATTTGGGGCTCTTGGCCCCGGCCATAGAACTGTGTCACTTGAATATCACAGCCCATAGCCATTAAAACAAATCTATAGTAAATATGATTCAGAGACAGAAGGACTTTAGAGCATAGAATCTGGGTGGAAAAAGTACTGGATCTGGTATCAGAGATAGTAAGTGCCTCTTCTATAAAATAAAAGAGTTGACCAGATGACCTCTAAGGTCAGTGATCCTAAGGGAACTGGAAATCCAACCTGTCCAACCTTATTTTTTTATTTAAACTGTAAATTTTTGTTTAAAGTGTAAACTGACGTCCAGAGAGGGGAAATGACTTTCCCAAAGTCATATTGGTATCAGAAGAACCGGGATGTGATCCCAAAACCTCCCACTTTAACTCCACTGCTCTTTTTACTGCAAGCTGCTGCCTCCTGGTTAGCATGAGTTCCACCCTTTTCTGTAGCTGAGTAATGGATTTGGTCAGTCCACTTATCACAGACTTGCTGTCTACAATGAGACAGCCCCCAACAAAGCAACAGCAGCAAATGATTCAGCATCAACTGTATGGAGCGCACTGGGCCCCACACTTAATCTAGGCACAACCCTGGCCTTCCTGGAACTTGCTGGAGAGGATGAAACATAAATACCGAAAACCACAGTACACAGGATTGCTCAGAGAGTCATCAAAGAGTGGCAGCTAGGTAGTGCCATGTATAGAGCTCTGGCCTTGGAGTCAGGAGGATGTGAGTTCAAATCTGGCCTCAGACACTTGACACTTCTCAGCTGTATGACCCTAGGCAAGTCACTTAACTCCAATTACCTCACTAAAAAAAAAAGTCATCAAGGAAAGCATAAACACAGCTCTCAAATTGTACTCAGGAAATCCCTGAGACCCTTTCAGGGAGTCCTTGAGGTCAAAATTATTTTCACAATAATAAAGACATTTTAATTTCTAATACAGTAAACATAAACAAATGTAACCCACACAAACAGAAGTTCTCAGGGGAGTGGACTCCTCAATAATTTTTCTTGTATTGCCATTTTTATTTAAAGTTTTGAGTTCCAAATTCTATTCTTCCCTCCCTCCCTCCTTCCCCTCCCCCTCCCTGAGAGGGTAAGCAATCAGATACAGGTTACACATGTACAATCATGTAAAACATTTCCATATTAGTCATTTTGTACAAGTCTTGATTAAAATTAAAAAAAAAAAGAAAGTGAAAAATAGCCTGCTTCAGTCTGTATTCAAACAATATTAGTTCTTTCTCTGGAGGAAGACAGCATGCTTCATCATGAGTCGTTTGGGATTATCTCCGATCATTGAATTGCTGAGAATAGCTAAGTCATTCACAATTCTTCATCAAACAGTATTGCTGTTACTGTGTACAACGTTCTCCTAGTTCTGTTTACTTCATTCTGCATCAGTTCATATAAGTCTTTCCAGGTTTTTCTGAAATCATTCTGCTTGTCATTTCTTATAGCACAATAATATTCTGTAATAATCATATACCACAACTTGTTCAGCCATTCCCCAATTGATGGGCATCCCTTCGATTTCCAATTCTTAGCCACCACAAAAACAGCTGCTATAAATATTTTTGTACAAATATGTCCTTTTCCTTTTTTTTTTTATGTCTTTAGAATATAGACCTCACAGTGGTATTGCTGGATCAAAGGACATGCATCCTCAAAAATTTTTAAGAGTGTAAAGGAGTCCTAAGAGCAGAATGTTTGAGAACTGGTGGTCTATTTGGTCTGATGGAGAAGGTAGTGTTATCCCCTGAGGGACATACATGTAGTTATAGGAGCAATAGAAGCCTTAAGCGTATCAGACCTAGAAGGGAGAGACCCTAAGAGATCATCAAATTCACCCCACCTCCCCATTTTACATTCACAAAAGCATAGAATAGCAAACTAGAAGGAAACAAAAATCATCTAATTCAATCTCTTTATTTTACAGGAAACTGATGGAGAGGCAGCTGGGTGGCGGAGTGGGTAGAGTGGTGCACAAGGAGTCAAGAACACCTGAGTTAAAATCCAACCTCTGACACTTACTAGTTATGTGACCCTGGGCAAGTCACTTCACCCTGTCTGCCTCAGTTTCCTCATCTCTAAAATGAGTTGGAGACTGGACAGCAGCAGTACCTCTGTGTTTCCTTTGGCTGACTTGGATAGCTATGAAATCAGCATCTCATCCAAGTGTACATTGGCAAATCATAAGTGGTCCCTTCTAATCATGGCGCTGTTTCTAGTTTTCAACAAGATGATTGATACATTCTGAGAAATCATCATTAGATGTCTAACAGCAACAACATTTTTAAAAAGGGTCCCAATTCAGCAAAACGAGACGATTCCACGTCCATCTGCGATCAGAACTACGGTAGCACCAATAAGCTCTTATCTACCAGGGGAAAAAGAGCAGTTGATGGAAGATAACCACGAACAGAGATCCTGCTTTGTTCATTTTCCTCCCTTCCCCCAGCACATTTATGGAACAATTTAAAGTTTACAAAGTCCTTAACTGGCATTGCTACAACCTTAGCAGATAGGTCTGCTGGGTATATTATGCCAACTGTTCAAAGGAAGAAACTGAGGCTAAAGGAGATTAAACGGATGACCAGTGGTAGCACCTAAATGTGCCAAGTGAGGTTTGACCCAGGTCTTCATGACTCCAGGTCCAGTGCTGAATCCCTTTGGCCGCACTGCCTGAGTTCAAGGTCCCTGAGCTAACCTGTGGAGCCACTGCTCTTGAAGCAATCTCTGAAAGAGCCATTAGACTTGGTTGGCCAAGGTTGCGTGGTGGATAGAGCACAGGCCCTGGAGTTAGGAAGACCCGAGTTCAAATCCAGCCTCAGACAGTTGACATTAACTGTGTGATACTGGGCAAGTCACTTAATCCTAACGGCCTCACACACACACAAAAATAAGAGACAGAGGCTCAATGGAGACAGTGCTTTGTAAACGTTAAAGTGCTATGTAAATGCCAGCTATTGTCATAAAACTGAACTTTAGGTAATTATACTGACTACATCAGGTCCCAAAGAAGAGACAAAAGGCTCTCTTCTTTGCAGAGGTGGAGGACCATGGGGGTGGAATGTTGCATGCAGTGCTCTGTGAGGTTGATGGTTGTTAATTTTGCTGAGCTGCATTCCTTCCACCTCTTTTTCATTCTTTTAGACTGGTGGGAAGGGGAGGGACGTACGCTGGAAAATGACAGGTGATGCAAAAAAAAAAGCTATCAAAATATTTTTTAAATATTTAAATATTTTCAAAAGAAAATAAATGACTTAGAAGTTACATGACCAAAAGAAAGACCATGTCATAGTTGATAACTGGCTTTGGATTCTGGAAAACCCGGGTTCAAGTCCTTTCTCTGACACATATTATCTGTGTGACCCTGGGCGAGTCATTTCTGTGACTCCAGGCAGCTAAGACTGTCAACTCCAGATGAAGTGGGTAATCTTCATTAGAAATAGAAGGAGTTTCGACAGCAGAAAGTTTGGGTCACACTAATGAAATCATAGGGAAGGACCAACTTCTCCCCATTCATTGGAAGACATTAGCAAGTCCATTCAAAACCACCAGACAGTGGGATTGCTACAAAGGAAGAGGAAAAGAAT